TGTTATCGTCATCTCAGAAACTGGAACCGCCCTGATCTCGATCTTGTGCTTGTCCTAATTTTCTCTCCCTCGTTAGTCAACTTTCCCTTCATCGATGGGCTGCAGTGAGAGGGACACGTCAATTCTCTAAGACTCCCTGCAGAAAACTACCCTGTGCATGCCCCGTTTCCAAACCTGCTTAGACACTCATTTAAGTTGAAATAAAATACAAACATAACTCTCAAGTAAATTCTAACTGGCCCTATTCAATTTTAAATAACATGCATATTTCTTGCCCATATACATGTATTTTTAAAAGGCTGCTTTTAATCCTCAGTAAAATTGCCCTAACAAGAGGAAAACTTCTGTGTCACAGTTTCATATCTGCTTAGTCTTTGACTACACAGGTACAATATACCACCAAAGTTTCTCACTTGATAACACATCCACAATGTGAAATGACTACCCTGTACACATATCTCTGTGCATATCTACAATTATTTATACAGCATAAAATCTAAGAATGGTATTCCATTCGCCAAAAGCATTATCATAGCTCTTGGTAGCTACTGTCTTATGTAGAAAGGTTCCATTATTTCATGTGATCACAATGACTATTTCCAATTTTTATGACTTTATAAACAAACTATCAATATGCTCTTTTATTGGTGGTGTTGTTGGGAGTGGTTTGTTTTGCTTTTCACTTTTGGAGAAGACGTCTGGTCCTTGTCATTAGCATCTCATTGACATTAAAAAAATATGCTCTCATTTATCTTAGCCAAAAAGAGGACGCAGAACAAGCCTCTCGGGTCATTTATGTATAATACCTCCCTTAAACAGGGATCACAGTCGGCACCACAGCTTGGCCCACAGCCTCTGAATGCAGCTGCTAAAACAAACCTTCAATTGCTGCAATTCACAGTCTATCCCAACAATGTGCCACAGAATGTTTCACTACCCACTCGTTAAGTGAACGAAAAAGTACCTGTTTATTGCATTTATGTATGGGTTCTTCAAAAGATAAGGAAAATAATTACAACTTGCACAGTCCTTGGATTTAGAAAGGTCTAATAAAAAAAAAATCATCTGTACCAAAACAATGCCTAGTCCTTTTCCCCAATGAGTTGGGTTTTCCAAACCTGAGTTTTCTTCCCCCTCCAATAAAAAAAGGAAAGATATTTGTAATGAACTACATAAAGGAAAGAAAAGGCTTCCTACATTACACTAACATCTACACAAAACAGGAATCTCATGCAGGCTGCGTCAAACAAGGACAAAATCTCCGAAGACTAGATCCAGCCAGGATGTTGATGTCCACACCAGCCAGCATTTCCACTAAAAAAAATCCAATGATCCAAAGCCATCACAAATTGAATCAACAGCTAATAATTACATTGTTGCCCTTCTTTTATTCCAGAAAAATAATTTAAAAATTAAACTGTACATGGAGCAATGCCACTGGCAATGTTAACCAGTTTGGAATTTACAAAATTTCCCCATATCCTCAATCCATTTTTCTGTCCTTATCTGAATTTCAGTATTCTTCATTGTGTTACAGTCATTATGATTATTGACTTCTAGGGAAAAACCTAGCATCTTAGAATCGCAAATATCAGAGTTATAAAGATGCTGACAATAATCTAGTCCATACTCTTTCATTTTAACAATATAGAAATAGTGCCTCAGGGAAGTTATAAATGGCAGAGCCCAAGACTATGGAAATAACGGCTTAGTTTCCTCTCCTCTCAAATCCCATTAGGGCTTGGCTTTTGTATTCTTTATATAACACTGCTTTTTTTTAGAAGAAGATGAAGGCGTGAAATACAGTGGACATTTATTCTTAGAAGGAAGACCTTTCGACTGTCAATTTATGTTAGGTAAGAGCTTACCAAAAGCACAAACCTAGCTCTTTTTTTTTTTTTTTTTTTTTCATAGATTCAGATAATGTCATTTAGCTATCAGGAGACAACACAATTGAACCTTAAAGCTGATAGAGACCTGAAGTATTTTCCAATACAACCACTTTTAGATCTGAGCTGATCAAAGACCACAGAGATGGAACATCCAAGGTCACATGATTGTGGGGGGCAGCTGAGCCAGTACTTCCTAACTCTTTGCTTAGGGTTCTTTCATCCTTTCAGGCTGACTGCTCTGTATTACAGCCAGGCAGGGTACCTGGTATGTTAACTTACAAAAATCTTAGGCATTGTAAAGTATCAATTCATGACCCTCTGGGTCTCTAAGGTTGTGGCGTGGCCCTCCTGTTTTTCCAGTCTCTATTCATAGTTTAAGGGCAGCTCTTTCTCTCCAAGTTCATGAGGATCACTGATTTCAAAAGGCAAGGCAAAAACACCACACACAGACTGGTCCCCTGGCAGTAAAAGATGAGTTAAATACCGGCAGCTGGATGACACAGAGGATGTGGGCGTCCTGTCACCGATAAGCAGCACACCTGGCTCTTATTCCTTGTTGCCTCTGGCCCCTTGGCCGCCTCTTTGGGCCAGGCTACGCTCAGTGAGGACCAGCCCAGTCATCCAAAGATTAAAATTCTTAAACCAAACCCGCCACATCCCACGGTGATGCTGTTAGCATCCTCCTCTGCCTCTCTTTCGGCCTCAATTTGCTCTCTGATAAAAGGGCAGCATCCTCTCCTGCCCTCAAGCATCATGGTCTATGATGTAAGCAACGGTTATCTTCATAAAGGGAGAGGAGGTGAGCTCAGCTCGCCTCCTGATGCTCTTCACTTGAGTCCTGACCCTCTTCCCTGTGTCCCCGCCCTCCCAAACCGGCCAGCCTGAGGGGTGGGGTCACAGAGTGGGCAGAGAATGTCTGAGTGGAAAGAATTGCTTAATCCCCACGAACAACTGGAGGGGCTCTCAAGAGAGGGGCAAAAGACAGATAACCCAGGGATGGTCAGAACAAAGCAGGAGGTGTGGGAGGGAGGGCTGGCACATGCCTCATATCAGATAGAACACTCTTAAGGCACAGGCTCCATTCTAGATTCTATCCTGCCAGGACAAACGTTAGGGAAGTCATTTCAATGCTGACTGAAATGCTAACGACGAGCACCTCACTGTTTCATCACATGGCTTTGGGGCAGTTCTGTCACGAAGATTTGCTGCAGCCCACATAGAGGACTGGGCACACGACAAAACTCTGTAAGTCCCTTCTGTGCGCCTGCGTGGAAGATGGATCCAAATTATGACCTCTGCACAGCAGCGAGGCCCACACGTAACCATGAAGCTACCACCTGGAGCTGGATGGATCAGCTCTACTTCCTGGCTGTCACCAGGCTCGAGTAGCCATTGTGTAGCTGTTGCTTGGGTTCCAGCACTGCACCCTTCCGAGGGGGAACCTGACATCCATGGTCATCATCAACCTACATCTTTGCTACAACCTTCTGGCAGGTGACAGTAGAGGCTTTGAAGGAAGAGCAGCAAACGGGTCATGTGGTCTAGTGGTAGGGCTGCCCCTTCCTAATCAATCCACGTAAGAGGACATCACCAGCACACAGAAAGGTACTGAATTCATGCTTTTGTAACTTCTGCTCATATTCACCAAAATGTACCTCCAGTGGTGATGCCACCACTCCTCCAATCAGAGTCTGCAGATACTGCATCATTGTTATCAAGATGACGGACAATCTTAAAAAAGTAAAAATACCAACAAAATGTGAGCTCACATAAGCAACAAAGGTCTGTACTCCAGCAAGGGTCACTGGCTGAAGTCCTACTCTTTATCTGGAAAAATCTCAAAAATGCAGGCTCACTGGGAACTTCCAAATGGATATAAACAGCAATGTGTTTATGGCACAAGATACAAAAATTAACAGCCCACTTTGCCTGCTGTGGAAGGCAGTGTTTGGAAACATGATACAATTCTGGACAGTTTCAGAAGGTACAGGGCAGAACTAGATCACCACGAGGATGACTGCCCATCTGTGTTCATTAAATAGGTCACACTGAATGATTCCTGGTAACCACAAAATGTTAATGATTTTGCCTCAGCCTCACACTGGATTATACTTTTTGATGTTCTCTTTTTAAAGTCAGGTTTACTACGGGGTAATTTACTTTGAGTAAATTTCACCCTTTAATGCACAAGCTACAGGCTGGAAAAACTACAATCATATAATTACTGTCAAAATCACCATTTAAAAGCTTTACCACCCTCAAAATTCCCCAGTGTCCCTTTATAGTCCACTTCTATGCCTGGCTCTGAAAACCAGACTGTACTTTAATATAAATTTCTACATGGTTTAGTCTTCCTCTTAAATATTTACCATATTTTTTACTGATTCTCACACACACCGACACTAGGTTGGAACACACTGAAATTAGGTTATATTTTAGTCAATGGCATTTTACATTATATTTGGTAGCAATTTTTCTTCTTAGATATACATGAAATAACAATGTGCCTTAAAATGTATGGTGCTTTTAAAAAAATCTATGAAGTACAATATTAAATTTTCTATTTCATAATATTCACTGGATACTAACCATGTGCTAGGCATTTTTCTAGGTACTGGCAATACAAAAATCATATGAATATGATTCCCAAGAACTATCATGGGGAAGGGTAGGTAAATAATCATAATATCACATGATAATGCCTCTAGCAGAGGGTCATCCACTAAACAAAATTATCTCTACATCAGCCACAACTCTTCTTCCAGGAAAAATGTCCCCCAAATCATATGCTTCCATGGACACAGGAAATAAGGATGCGTTTCACGGTCCTCATTCCAAGAGTGAGTTATTGCCACACCATCTGACATACTGCCTTGGAACAATCCAATTATTTTTTCCACACTATGCTGCTATAGTAGAGAAGTCTCATTTTAGTGTTCAACAGCTGCAAGGCTTTTATGATCATATCGAAAGGGAAGTCACTGGAAATAACTGCTCAATCTGCGAAAGGCAGATGTCCCAAATCTTTCCCAGGCGTGCCTCAAGGTCCCACATTTTCCCCCCGGACAACTTTTAAAAGGGAACGTAGAGAAGACTCAAGACCCTTACCTGGTTCTTGAAAGTGCTCTTCATTGGATAGAGTTCTAGATAGGATAAGTATTAATGCTTCTTTAAACTGGTCAAAATGTACCTAAAAAAATGAAAACAAAATAAATGAATTTAAAGTCAATTCCACAGCCCAAAGAATGCAAAACCATCCAGACGGTCTGAGAACCATTTGGTCCCATCCTGACACCACTGAAGTGACTCCTTTCACGTTTTGTTCTGTTCCTTTTTTTCATTTCTCTAAAGCACAGCAGGCAAAGGGGGCTGTTAATTTTTGTATCTTGTGCCATAAACACACTGCTGTTTATATCCATTTCAATATTCATTCAACACCCAAGGGGAAAGCTATTTGACACAATTCTCTTTATACACATGGGAAAAATTGTTTTGAACTCTCAGCTCCTTTTATTTTTGTGATGATCAGATAACAAAGATGTTAGGTTAGATATTAGGAAAAACTTCCCAACTAAAATGATCCATGGTTACAGCACTCCACATGCTTTTATCTCTTAGGATACTCAAGAAGGGAGTAAGCACCCCTTTGAGGATGACTCCAATATGGTCTTGCCTGGGGCAGCTATATAATAATTATCTCCCAAGGCCCCTGTGAGTCTATAGACCAGCAAAAATCAATAGCAAACACAAAAGATAAGAGAATCTTGAGAAGTATTTCCATGAATTCATGAAAATATAACAGGGCTGGGGATATAGCTCAGCGGCATAAGCGCCTGCCTGGCAATGGCAAGTGTGAGGTCATGAGTTTGATTCTCGGTGCCAAAAAAAAAAAAAAAAAATCATAAAAATGTAACAGCCTTGACTGAAGTGGGAAAGAACCCTGGTTTTACTTAAGGAAATACTCAATCAAAACTGGGAGATTATTTCACTTAAAAAGGTAAAACAGTTCTCTTTAGGGCCAAGTATATTCCTCTGTAACTGCAATTTACGTGATCTTACCCCAGGACAGGAGAGTATTTTTTCTTACTGTAATTCTAGTGTGACAGTGTGATTTTTGTGGTTTACACAGAACCCTACTGGTGAATTTAAAATGAAAGTGGGTAAATGGGTAACGTGTGCGGCTCTGAGTCTCTCTGGATGTCATTACCAATCACTGCCAAGCTTTAAATACCAGGGAGAGATTTATTTATTTACTTTTGGTTTTTTTCCCTGTACTGGGAATTGAACTCACGACTTTGCGCTTGCCAGGCAGGCACTGTGCTGCTGAGCTAAATCCCTAGCTGCCCCCAGTGAGAGATTTAAAAACAGTTCTAAATTAAATTTGGGAAAGCAATACCTCGTGAGTCTCTACCATCCGAACAATGAAGACAAAAACCAGATAGTCTGTGTGCAGATCAAAGCAGAGAAATCCACCTTGATTTATAGGTCATAAAATTGTATTTGCTTACAATTTATAACACTCTCCCAAATAATATATGCCTTCTCTACCATACTGTTTTCATTAATTGAAATTACTTCCTCAAATCATAATTTTTTAAGACTGTGTGGAGTTTGCTTAATTTTTTTTTTTTAAATTTAAGGTGTAAATTGACGGTTTGATTTATGTATGCGCTGTGAAACAAGCACTACAATAAGCTAATTAACATATCCATCACTTTATATGGTTACTTTTCCTTTTCAAAGCATGGGTGTGTTAAGAACACTTAGGATCTGCCCTTTTAGCAAATTTCAGATTAAACTGCATGGATTTTAAATGCCAACATAATTGAAAGAGCCAGAGCAGCAGTGTGTCAAGGGAGGGAGGGCATCCGCTAAGGAGAGAAGGCAGGATAATCTATGAGATGGAGGAGACATAAGCCATGCTAATTAGGTTTCATAGCTGACAAATCCGTCAGAATCTGGCGGGAGGAGTGTGTGGTCCCCGTGTTGGAGACAGGCTTCAGGCGTGGTGTACCCCAGCTCCTGTTCACAAGATCAAGCCCATCTCCCCCACCAGCCAGCCCACCCCGGCACTGGACAGGCATCTCCTAACTCCTACCAGAATCTTTCTCTGTTCTGTGAAGGCAGCAGAGGCATCAGGAGGATACATACAAGATATGGAGCCAGGTGGTCCAGGTTCTAACTCTGGCTCTGCAGCTTACTTCATCTGTGATTTAGTTAAATTGCTAAACCTCTCTGAGCTTTAGTTTGCTATCTAGCAAGTTATATGTATCGTTCATTTTACAAATATTTCCTGAGCAGCTGCTATGTGCCAGATGCCATCCCAGGTCCCCGTGACACAGCAGGGGATGAGAGCGACAAAATTCTCTGCTGTCACAGGTTCACTGTCTCAGGAAACATCACCGGCAGTCAGGGAGGTACTGTGCTAGGAGCACTGCGTACATTCTGCGTGTGTTGTAGTATCTCCTCCCCAGCAACAGTGTTAGGGAGTAAAGTGCAGATGGGACTCTACGGAGAGTGGGAGAAGGGAGGGAAAGGGGGAGTAAAAAGGATGAAGATGTCACAGGTACACGCACCAACTCCCCGCGAGGCATGTGATCAGCGTGCATCAGAAACACGTACAAATAAACAAAGACATGAACTCAAAGCACAGTCAGACCAGACCATGCCAAACACTGCAGGGGCTGTGGGCACCAATGACTCCTGCACACCGATGGGCAGGAAGGTGAATAATAAAGCAACATGCCCAGAACCTCTTAGAACCTTACCTCCCAAGTGGTAGTTAATACTTCTTAACAGGTACAGAAGTGGAGCCACTGTTCCACCACAACGACAAAAACAGGGTCATATTTTAAGGCAAAGCAACTAGCCACTTGAGTGGCTCCCACAGCCAGGTGGTGGGCGGAGCTGGCAGCAGGGAGGGCCTGGCGTCTCTCTCCTCCCAGGACCTGTGACGAGGCCAAGTCACTGACTCAGCCTGTCTGCTGCGCGCAGGAAGCCCATCCGCGGATTCTCACGGAGGGCCCCGGATGAAGCCCAGGCCTCCACTGGCTGCGGTCCCAGGCTGAACAGGAGGCGGCTCCCATTTCAACAGGAGCCATTTCTCTCAAAAAATTCTCCCCCTTCTATTCAACTCTGGAGGTCTCTCCTGGGCTTTCTACACATCTAAGTTCCGATAGAGGCCATCAGAAAGTGCCCACCAGAGTTGGGTGCTGACTTAATTCAGTTCAGTGAGTAGGAGCTGTGAAGGTCACCCAGCAGTCTGCAGACGTGGATTTTACTCCCCCTGACAAATGACAAAGACACCAAGAATCTAGAATGAGCTCTAATCAACTCCCAAGGCTTTGTATGAGGTTTAGGTTTCCTTCGCATGCAAACACTTGAGACAGTGGAAGTTTTAGGTACAGGGAGGTTGTCTATCTCAGCCTCAACTGTCTTGGGTCTAACAGACAATGAGGAAACCAACAGACGGCATAAAGTTGAGGGTGATGTCACAGAGCCCACACACTGCCACAGAAAATGCCACAGGATCAGCTCAGATCTCTTCATTTTTATTCGACCCCATTTATTAGAAACTTCATTAAGCCAACTGCAGATCAGAGGCAGGGGCTCCCACAGTAAGTATAAGAAGTAACTACTGACAATTTGGATTGAGGAAAGACATGAACTATCTTTCTTCAAACAAAAATAATGTATAATATATTTTTGTTTTAAAAACTATCTTGAAACCCTTAAAAAAAATCTATAATCTATTGAAAAAAAAAGATGACATATGCACTCCAAAACGTAACCAACTGGGGTCATCTAGGGTTAGGGCATGGATTTATATTCTGCAAATTGGATCCTGAAGGTATTACATACTACAGAAGAAAAAGTTGATAGATCAAGAAGATTTTAAATGATCAAGGACATTTAATTATGTTCATTATACTATTTTATAGGATAACATTTAAAAAGAATTTTAAAAATCCCCACTAGTAAATGCTTTTTAAGGAGATCTACCATGACACAAGCTAAAGGTTCCAGTTATTAGACTATTTTACTAATGGGGGCCCTTGACAATAGTCAGACAATGAGATACTAGTGAAACTTCCTTCGTCCCCAGATATTTTCTTGTTTGAATTTAACAACATGTGAGACAGTCACAGCAGAGACCCCACCTTAAAGCTGCGGAGAGAGCAGATCAGAGGAGGCACAGACCCTGCTCAGGCCACACGTCTCTTGGAAGTGACAGGGTCACCTGGAGAACCAGGCCTTTTTGACAGGGCTCTTCAAGGCCCAGCAACCCTGCCTGACCCAGACCCTGTTCTGACCTCAAGGAAATCTGCTGTCACAGGCCAAACCCCAGAGTTCCTATACAGCCACCAGGTGTAAGGCACACACTAGGTACAAGGTGGCAGCAGGGGACACACCAAGAACACACATGACCTCTGCCCTCCAGGAGTTTACCGCATACACTCCAGGGTCTAAACGGTAGCAGAACACAATGCAGGAGGAGAGTCGAAAGTGTATGAGTGACCACAAGACCAGTATTGCATGTTTATATCTGTTTTCATGAGAAGCCACTTTGAAGATATCAATATGTAATACAACCACCATTGTTAATTCCCTACCACTTTGTTTGTAACTCTGTATTGTCTGTATTGTGCTTGTGATATGTTGTAAAATGTTGTATGTCTGTTAATGTTTCCCTCCTTTTATCTTTAAAAAAAAAAAAAAAAAAAAAAAAAAAAAGAATCTGGAAAGTGCCTCGAAAGAGACACAAGCAGGCGAAGTCTGACACTGATCTTCATTTCCTCCTTGGAAGGGCATGGAGACACCAGGCCCCGGGATTTAAATAGCAATAAATGCCACATCTTTGATCCGGGGAGATAGTGTTCTAAGAGGCAGGTGACTGCCATTTTCCATCAATGCTCATGAATACTGATGTGGCACAAAAGCCCCTTAGGACACAACCCTGACTCGAAATGCTGATGAATGCCCTCTATTGTGAAGATTCACACAAGATTGGGCTTCTGTTCAGTAACTGGAATTTGGAAGGGCCATTTTCCTCCTCCAACGCAACTTTTGACTATCGCATTATGTTAAAATTGGGAAATCTTTACAAATGTACAAATCAATTCACCCTCACAAGGTACCAAGATTCTGGGCTGTGCGTCCCCTTGCACCTCCTCAATTGAATAAAAATTG